AGAGTGGGGCAGGAGCCAAAGAAGGGGAAGCTCTTGCGGCCTCTTGTTTATTTCAACCAAGCTGAAGGGAAACACTGATTAGTGCTAGAGAGCCTGCGACCTTCACCCACGGGCACGGGGACCATTGTTAAAGTGGAAGTGAGAGTCATTGAACCAAACTGAGCTATGAAAGAGACCACTTCATGACATGGTTTCTTTCATGAAATAGAAACCACCTCCCTGGGCTGAGCGCAGGGCAGCCGGGCTGGAGAAAAGAGAAGCTGCTTCTGTAGGAAGAGGTTTTTCCAACATTTGGCCTCTCAGGAAAAAAAAAACCCTTCTTTTGGAAGTCCCCTTATTCCTTGTGGAAAGAGGAGTATGGGAGGTCGGGAGGGCGGAAACCCCCCAGCCAGCTGACTGTGGCTTTCAGCTGAAAGAGGCTGCCCTGTGCTCCAGCTGATCAGCGGCTTCCCCTTTGTGCCTGCCCACGTGGAGCTTGGTGCACTCTGGCTGAGTGCCAGGGCCAGCTGGCTGGGCAGCCACTTTTCTTCGCTCTAGCCTGGCTGCCCTGTGGTCAGTCCTTCTGTGCAGAAACCAGTTCCTTCTGGCACCCTGTCTCCTACTACAGAAACCTGTCCTGGCACCCTGCCTCCTCTCCCCTGCCCCCACTGGCACCCTGTTCCCTGCCCCAGAACCCACTAGCACCCCTCCCTAGTACTGTGTCCCCTGCTCCCGAATGACTTTTCTATGGGTCAGTGACCCCTGACATGGCAGGGAACCTGCCATTCTCATAAAGACAATGCAGAAACTTTGTGTTTAACATAGTATTCTATTTAAAAATGAAGCCTGGCCAACAAACCCCCAATTGGGGCCAAGCCCCCATCTGGCCACAACCACTCTAGCACCCCTCCCTAGTACTGTGTCCCCTGCTCCCGAATGACTTTTCTATGGGTCAGTGACCCCTGACATGGCAGGGAACCTGCCATTCTCATAAAGACAATGCAGAAACTTTGTGTTTAACATAGTATTCTATTTAAAAATGAAGCCTGGCCAACAAACCCCCAATTGGGGCCAAGCCCCCATCTGGCCACAACCACTCCTTCCCCAGACCCTAGATCTGAGCCTATCTCTTCCCTTCAGCCCGGCTGCCCTGCGCTCAGCCCAGGGAGTCTGTGTCTAGCTCCAGCTGTTATACCCCATGATACCCTTGCTTAGTACCCCAACACTGCCCAGCCTGGAGTCCCCTCCCCAAGCCAGCCAGTGTCCCCTTTACCTCCTCCTGCTTTCCAGAGCTTGCACTGCTCACCCCTTCCCACATCCAAATCCCTCATTCCCACCCCAGAGACTACAAAAACTCTTCTGGATCCAGGGTTGCACTTGTTCTTCTGCTCTTTTAGTGGAAGAGCAGACAGGCTCTTTCGGTCACCCCTATACTCCTCTTTCCACAAGGAATAAGGGGACTTCCAAAAGAAGGGTTTTTTTTCCTGAGGCCAAATGTTGGAAAAACCTCTTCCTACAGAAGAATTTTTTTTTTTTTTTTTTTTAAAAGCAGCAGTATAAAGTTTGGGGATAGCAAGTGATGGAGAGGAGGAGAATTGAGAGGGTGGGGCTTCAAGGAAGGGGCAGGGCAGTAGGTCTTGGCTTGGTCTGTCATTTAAAAAGTGATCTTGGGTGTAAAAAGGTTGGCAACTATTGCCCTAAGCCAAAATGACAAAATGGGAAAAAAAATATTCCCAACCAGTAACAGGCAAATGTCATCTGAAAGTACCCACTTCTGTATAATAGCAGAATCACCCACTTACACTCCTGTTCACTTTACACAGCATAAAGCTAACTTGTTTCAAATTCATGAATACAGCTTTCAAAAGAAAAAGCATAGTGGCACTGGCCCAGTTGGGCCAAAAATAAGCCTACTGAACTTTTAAAACTGGCTGAAGTTAGAATGAGCTAGCCCAACAAAGTATCAATAAAACGGTTAAAGGCTATTTCATTTGTTTTACAACATGTGTTTGGCTTATCCTTGAGAAGGGATTTGTTACATTCCTTCGAAATGGTGGTGTACTAGTTTGTTTTGCACCAGCAATGCTCATTTTATAAAGGACCATTCTTTAGCCTCCATTATCTGACTTTTCTATCCCTCCACATGCTTATCACATCACCACAACAGGGCTTCTCAAGAGGTAAGCTGAACCCTTTAGCTTCGCTAAGACTGGTACTAGATCATTCACCTTTACTGATGACGTAGCTAACTAATATAGCTAACAATAGGTTGGAGTTTGGTATCAAGTCTCGTATGAAGAGCTGAAAGCCATCAGGTCTCGCTCCCTTTTTAAGGCCATACTTGACAAAGCCCTGGCTAATATGATTTTAGTTGCCGTTGGGCTTGAGCAGGGGATTGTACTAGATGACTGCCTGAGGTCTCTTTCAACCCTAATCATCTATAATTAGATTTATCCTCCATTAGCATGCAACATCAGCAGAAGAAAGCCTGAATCTAAGGTGATTATATAGCAACTGTGAAAAATTGGGACACTTGCCTCCCAACCATGGGGATAGGGGAGTACAGTTGTATACATAAAACAAACGCATGTTATCTTCTATACCCAAACTACTATCCAATTAATGTTAACCACTTTATTATGTACATTGTAATGCTGTCTTCCTCTGATCTACTGACAGAGGAACAGTCACCATCATATCTCCGTCTAAATTTTCACCATTTCCTTGACTCAGAACAAGGCTTGGTGATGACAGCAGATTGATTTCCACCTCCAACTCACACCATCAGAAAACCCCTTGTCTGAACAAATTCAACATGTGCCTTTGTGTCAACAATGAAGTAAGGAGTGACTTGAATATAAATCAGAGTTTTCCCCATTGTCTTGACTGTCCCTGGCAGCACAGCTAACATGCCTATTAGAAAGACAACAAAATACCCCTTGACTCTGGCTCCATCAGTGACCCAGGAAGAGGACCACAAGTTGAAACATTTTCATGAGGGGCATTCCACATCCCCAACCCTAGCTCATCAGCAAACCAGCACTATCAGGATCAATATCAATTCATTTGTATTACAGTAGAACTCAAAGATCTCACTATGCTGGATATTGTACATACATCAAATAGGATAAAACAGAAACGTTGCTGAATCTATCACCTGGAATCATCATCAATTTAGTGCATCAAGCTCACAAATTAGTCATTTCAATTTTCCTCACTGCGAGAAAATCCTTTACGTACAACTTAGATTGAAGATAAAAGTTTAGGCAATAGTTTTCTGCTGTATTCAATTAAAGACGACACCCGAAAATGGAATAAAGACTCAAATATTTGTTCTGCCTATGAGTTTTATTTACACAGGAATTATTAGTGGTCTTAAGTGAAGGCTAGATCCCTTTTATATACAATTTTATATACATGTTTATACTTGAAAAGTAAGAAAACTGTACAACAGAACTCAAAAACAAAAAGACAAATAAATTGGATCCAGAGTAGTGAATATATAAGGAAAAAAATCTCAGACATTTTAAACTGTGTGTTGAGTAGTATATTTAAATGTAGTTTTAAACCAGAGAGCA